ACTAAATATTCGCTCAACAGAGGCATTGGAAGCTGGTAATATCGTCAATAAACTCAACAATTTATCAAGATTTTGAAACAAATTCTCCAGCAGCATTAAAAATATATATATATTTCTGACCAGTAGCAGCAGGGGCGGACTGGCCATGTGGAAAATGTGGAAAATTCCACATGGGCCGCATACAATTTGGGCCGTTTTTTCTAAATATGTACTGTACATAATGTACCGTTTGGTTAAGTTTAATTTTAAAAAATTCATATACTTTTTTTTGTTAAGTAAGATGTATAATATCCTATATTATACACCTTACTTAGTATAATATCCTATATTATACACCTTACTTAACAAAAATATATGTGTAGACCTGTATCATTTTACCCGGCCTTACCCGTATCCGAAGTTAAATTAGTTCGGCCGATCTGAGTCAAACACTACATTAACCCAAACAGAAAGCATCCTAGGAGAAAAATAATCAAAACTACCTTCTAAACAGAGAAAATTGGTCATTTGTTTACATTGCTAGAAACTATTCACCACTCCTATGAATCTTAATGCTAAAGTATAGAAATGCGAGTTATTAGTTTTGTACCTAGCCACCAAAGCGATGATTGTAGTCATAACAAATTTAGTGGCCACTTATATTATTTCCTTTATTTTAGGTAAGTAAAAAATGCTATTCAATAATAATTTCTCTATATTCCAAACGATTTAATTAAAAATAATCTATTTTGTAGAGTGAGGCCAGGACCTCATCCCCTCTCCAATAGGAAACTGGTTGTCGAGCTAAAGCTAATAAATCGGTGATTTATTTCGTAAACAAGAACGAATGTAAGACGATTTAATTGTCGCATTCCCGGACCAAATTCACACGTCTTCGATCTAGATCAGGGAAAGTGGGAGAAAGAGCAACCGGGGAGAGTTCGACTGTCATCTTACAGCGAGTTCAAAGCGCATTAGACTAAAATTTACGGGACCGTCACTAAATATTCCTGAAAACGCATTTCAAAAATTAAGCAGTATTTTAATACAGTTTAATCCAGTAGCTACTCAACACAATATTATTTCAGAATTGCAACATTTTAAATCGTCATGGAATATTTTAAAGGAAAATGTCAATGAAACTTTTATAAAATTAAACGAAAATGAACATTCTACTGATGATCAAGTAGAAACTAATAAAGATGCGATTTTATCCTCTTACTGCATTGCTTGCAAAAATTGCTCTATTTGTTGTTATAATATATTATTCAGATATAACATGTTAAGTGGCGCTTATTCTATACTTGGTCAAGCATACAAATATCTGCTATCTATGTCTGTAACACAAGTGTCCCGTGAAGAAAGCTTTTCTATGTTAAAATTAATTAAAAGCCGGCTAAGATACTTATAAATATCTCGCAAGAAAATCTAGAAGCCTCCGTGTTAATGTCAGTAGAGAAGGATTTTTTAAACGAAATACATTCTGATGATGTCATTAATATTATTGCTCAACAAAGCAAACTTCTAAATAAAAAATTAATATTGTAGAATATAGACTTGTGCTTATTGTAATTTTTGTCAATGTTATATTTTGAATACATTTAAATATAAATAGAAAAAAATACATTTTTTTTTATTTGTGGGCTAGGCTGGTAATAAATTTTCCACACAAAAATGTTAGGGCCAGTCCGCCCCTGGATCTGACAATATGACTTTTTGACCCCAAGTTAAGTAGGGCTTGTTTACGCCATTCATTGTCTACAACTTGTAAATCAACATTAACATTTTTAAACTTTTTAAACAATGGCTCCAAAAACCTCACTGTTAAATTTTTCGAATTTTCAGATTCAAGCAAAAGCAGATATGAAAAAATGTCATTACTGAAATCAAATCTGGCATAGATTTCTTTTACAAGTGTACAATAAAAACTTTTACAATAAAAGCATCAGATCACAGGGCAGTTTTATCCTAGATTTACCCTCCTAAATATAAGACTGTATCATGAATTTTAGGGGGATATGAAAGATGAGAATCCCAGTTCCGGTCGGAAAAAGGGACATCCTCCCCCGACCCTACATTGGGATACAAGTCCAATGCAGCGCCACTACACACACAGGTGCAAGCACCTGACAGGAAGGGAAGCCAAACGAAAACACTCAGTTCGAGCCGGGGACAGAATGCTTCCAGCACTTGCTGGATTGGCAATAGAGATGCAGTGGGGGTTAACCCAAAGCATCAAAATGCTGCTGGGAACAGGAAACTAATGCCTCGACCATCCCCAGCAGGACAGAGGCCAGCTAGGGCCGGAAGTTAAACTTCTACCGAACACCCTAGAAGGACCAAAACAAGCCAGGACTGAGAAACCGTGCCTGCAACCAGCCAAGGCACGTAAACGATGTAGTTCCGCTTGATCGCTCCCGGCCTTTTAAATGGCGAAGGAAACAACACAGGACAGACATAATTTTGGCTAAGTTCAAATGTGTATCTGTCTTCATGTGTAGTGACACATGAAGACATACACATTTGAACTTAGCCAAAATTGTAAGGATTTTGCCCAGTACGCTAAGAGATTGAAATTACCCTAGAAACAGCAGCACTGGCATCAAATATTCGAAGCAGAACGAAAACATATGTAAAGCACGTGCCTAAGTTTAGTGTTGCCAGCTATAATCTTTTATTTCCGACAACTTTATTTTTTTTTTTTTCTATACTTAAAATATATTTTACACAAGAAAAATTCGTAAGTTAATGAATAAATTATAATTTTTTTAGCTTATCAAGTGAAATAAAAATTTAATCTTGTCGTAGACACATAAATTAATACGTAATTTGACGGCTGGATGATGGATCCCTTTTTTTTTCTAACTCTCCGTCCTATGAGCTCAAAGCGGGCCATCTTACCAAGTCTTTAGTGGGTTCGGCCAGGTCCACAATGTGGTAGTGCCGAACCACCCCCGAAATATTCTTGGAATTTTTCGATTCGTCCGGACTCGATCCCAGGTCCCCCAAAGCGTTACTCTGCCATGTTAACTGTTCAATCATCCGGCCTTCCATTCTTTGGGGATGGGGAGATGGCCCACATTAGAAATTTGAACTATGCCTGAATTTAACTTCTCTCTGAATATGAACACTAATCAAACATGGAAACATTACTTCACCTAGTTCCTCTGCAACACAAGCAAGCCCATTTTGTGTTTGATCGGGCCCACAATGGGAAAGTCGGGTGATGAGGGACAGGGTTTGACTTATTGGGATAGACCACCTCCAAAAAATTCCTGGAATTTTTTCATTCATCTGGATTTGATCCTGAGTCCCCCAGAGTGGTAGGCTGCAACTTTAATTGCCACTGGCCATTTTAATTGAATTTGTGGTTTTAACTAAAATAAATGAAGAAATGAAGGAATTATATACTTTTATTGATAATAAAACACATTTTATTTTTTTCCATTAACAAAAAAATTCCTGTTGCATACAGCAAAATGGAGTTCAATTAGTTTCTTTTAATAAATGAAAATATATATTCTAAATATGTCAACAATAACAGAAAACAATAAAATTCTAAATTAATCTGACAAATATTCATTTAGACTAATATAAGTAAATATTTTAACTTTTTTGAAACAAAGAAACAAGACAACATACAGGATATTGTTGTAATGATTTTGTATTTCTTGAATCACCTTTTGTTTTGTTTGATATTTTATACTGTTTCATTAACGTAGAAAGTACGCTGCATACGGGATACAGATGCTCGGCACTAATGGACATTCTGTTCAAAGCGCCGCCTTTGGATATGCCGTGTAATTTTTGCAATTGTGTATTTTCGTCGTCATTGATCTGTAGATTTTCTTTATCTTTGTCAGTAACTTCTACGGCAGGGATGCTCAGATGTATTTTGCTATTTTGATCATCTAAGTCCAATTTAATTTCAGATATATCCAGTTCTCTGTGACCGGAGTTAACTTTCAAGGGTGTACTAGTTAGATGTTTTGCATTGGTTAATGGAAAACACTTCACATCATGCTTCTTTGTAATATGCAATTCTTCCACACTTTTTATTTGTTTGATGGCAATTTCTGAACAGTTTAAAGATTCCAAGTACTTAATTACATGGCTATTTTTGTTGAGATTGGTTTTCTGATGTGACAATCCATCTATCAAATTTTCTCCTAAACAATCTAAAAATGAATATTTATCTACAGGCGATATACTAAATGAAGGAAATACATCATCATCACAAACACTCACATTTTTCATTGTAGAAAATTTTATATTTCCACTTTTATCATATTCAATTTCATTGAAACTAAGCTCGTAATTTGAAGACTCACAAACACTACGTGGGAATTCAATAGATTCTCTGCTGTAATTAATTAATCCCTCTGATTCAGTAATTGCAGTGCTAAAATCTGTTATATCTGTCCACTCATCATCACTTAAAGTTGATTCTTCTTTTAATTCCTTAGAAATTCCAAAATTTAAATTTTTCTTCTTGTTTTTTGCATAGGGAAGAGTAAATGAAGAATTTGTCATTTTAGTTTGCCAAATATCTATAGGATTATATTTATTCTTAATCCAATTCTTTGTCACTTTTGCCATCTTCCTTAATCTGTATAAAAGATGAAATTATATAATGAATTTGTTTCATTTTTTCTCTACTTAATTAGCAATTTACAGTAGAAGTTTGTGAATCTGACACTGAAGGGACCAGGTGGCTGGATAACCAAATGGTAAAGGTATGAACAGGACTGTTGAAAGCTTATATGGAGCCCGGGTAGAGTGAGTCCACTTTTCCATTATTTCTTTTTGAACAATAAAATACATAAAATATTTATTAATAAAAAAACAGTCTTAAAGATTCTGTTTTCTGTTAGTAAAAATAACATTAATTTATTGGATATGAACCACTACAGATGTCTAAATTTTCTGTGGTCCCAAAAAAAAATCACCAGCTCCCCCTTCTTGATTGTCCTNGATATTCTCAAATCCTAAGAAACTGGTCAAATACTCAATGAAAAGTGGCAATTCATATCCACTTGGTTGCAGTTCTTATGACAATGTGAACCTAGCTTTCACCTTAATTAGTTAACATCTTAATTAGCTAATAACAACAATACTAGATTCAGTGTACAGTGTCCTAAGATGTGATTGTGTCAAGTTTCTTGATTCCTTCCCAGAAGAATTGTGTGACTATGGAAATGAAAAGAACATTTGCTATGATAAGATTGTATATGAATATTTTTTTTTACTTTTTTTTGTACAGTTGTCCTTTTAATTTGAAGAAAAAACTTGTAGTCTTTGTTTGTAGCCAAAAACAAAGGAGATAACTAATGAACATAAATTTAATTTAAAATATCGTTAAAAGTTTTGTCTTACCATCATAAATTTCTCTAGGCGAAACTTATCTAACCCAAACCATTCCCTCGACATAGTTTCAAAGAAACATTCTATAAACATATATGTATATTCAATTCTTGAAAATCTATGAATAAGTTTACTCATAGAATCTGCTAGTGTTTCCTAAAAAGAAAATTAAATCAAAAATGATTATGATAAATTTAAAGATTTATTACATAAGATGCATCAAATTCTAACCTGTATCAAAGGTTTGTCTGACATCCACATGCAATAGAATAGTCCTTTCCATAGTTTCATCATGTCTTCATGTTCAAATGCTGAAAATAAAAATTTCATACTATGGATCAATTATCTATAATACTGTAGTAATACAATTTTTATATAAATGTTGATGTGGGAGAGCAAAAGAGGGTCACATTGGTGGATGTTGTTTTCTAGACCTATGAGAAATATAAGGATGACGTATTTAGCCTAGCTGTCTATCCAGGAGGTCTGAATATGCCATCCTCAAATTGCTCATAGGTCTAGAAAACAATTTTTATAATTCATTAGTTATCTAACATACCTTTACATGCTCAAATACTGTATAGCAACTTGTATAGTGAACTAAATATTATTGTATAAAAAAAGAAATATTATAAATAATTGGTGAAAATTTATTTAAGTAATTTAAACTAGAAAATCATTTTGTGTTATATCAAGAACCAAAAAGAATGCTACCATTTTAAATTATTCTAATTATGTTAATTATTACCTGAGAATGTAATATTGTAATGTAAGTACATCATCATATCAGATACCGTCCAAGTTTCACATTTGCCCATTACAATTTTTCAGCACCTCATGTCACAGGTATTCTTAAAAATTCTTTCTACACTCACTATGACATATCCATTGTTACCCCTTCCATGGCAGCCAAAATTCCATAACTCCTGCAGAATATTCACATTGCACAATGATGAGGGATTCTGACTTTGAGAACTGCAGAACACAAAATGCCTTCTCTGTTGCAGAGTTGCCATTTTCATTTATGACACTTCCTATAGGCAGACAACAAGATGTTCAAATGCAGGTAGGTGGAAGACAAAACTCAGACTGTTATTCTATCAATTGGTATAAGTTATATATTTCTCAGATAATAATTAACATAATTATAGTAATTTAAAATAACAGTACAGTCGACCCCCCTATAACATGGTAGATACATTCCGGTTTTTATGAATCCATTTTCTACGAGTCCAGCCAATCACAGACTGGCACGTATGCAGTTTATGGACTACGGCTGTTTGAAAGGTTTCTTTCATAAAATTAATCGATTCTAGACTAATTCGACTCAACATTTCTAAAATACGTATAATTTTTTGGGAATAATCCATATGAACTATGTTATAAATAAAAAAATTGTAGGATTACTTATCGAGTGTGCATTGTTTGACTACGCCGTTGCTTAAGATTGTTTTTGTCGTGGAGCTTGTCGTCAAATGGCGCTCGCGTGCTTCCTGATAAATTATTTTTTTACGAAAAATTTGCTGTACTTTGGAGACATCATTAATATAAATATAATTTTTATGGACGTTAAATAATAAATGGTTTTTAGTAGGTCCGCTGCTCATTTAATCTCAACAGTTTGTACAATATCCGCTATTGGTCTAGATTCGACCAATCCTGTCACAACACGAGTTGGCGATGACGTTTTACTGAATTATAGGAGTTTTTTTAGCATGTTTATAAGAATACTGTTGCAATTTTTTCACCATGATATAGGAATTCGAACTATAGGAACCCGTGTTATAGGGGAGTCGACTGTATTAATCTTGGAAGACTATAGTTAGCCAGATGATTGTAAAGTAGGTATCAGTTTACTGCTATGAGAGATAGAAGTTTTAATCTGATTTGGATCCTCATACTCTACAGATGGGTCATATTCCAGGTAACATGGTTAGATTATTATTCTTCAATCTTCATTTCACTCTCATTGATCCCATTGTGGGTCATGCAGAGTATAATTAAGATTGTAACACATTAACAGATTACGATCTAATGCTATTCTTTTGAATTGATGTTTACAATAAGCAATTTCATTTAACTTCAAAAATGAATATTTGTTACAGAATAAATACAAAGATATATCCAGACCTGCCACTCCCAAAATTTACTGGGTTCTAGACTCATCCAGATTAAATCCCTGGTCTCCGCAAGTGGTAAGCTGCCACCTCAATTGCTTGACAGTTAATACATTGAACTATTCAGTTGTACTTATAAGTTGGCTTTAAATTATGGTACTTAAATTTTTCCAAGTATAACTAGATCTTTGTACAAAACAGACATGATATAACACATTTCCTTGAATGTATTTTTTAACCAATTTTTACTTGACTGAAATAGGATTGTGTCCTCAATAAAGATCTCCAGAACTGATGTAGGATATTAATATCATCAAAATTAATTGCAACATTTTCTTATCAGCTTTAATTCATCAAACACCTCAAAATATTTGAAATATATAAATGAATTTTAATGATACTAACACACTACATCAGTTCTGGAGATCTTTATTTGTGATCCAGTTTTAATTTTTCTACATTACTACAGCAATGACCAATCAGACGGCACTTCCCCATCATTTAAAGGTTGTTCAATGTTATGTTTTATTTTTTAACACTGGAGCTTAACCTGGCAATGATGTCACACCAGATAGGAGAGTAGTTCAGAATGCGACACAATGTGACAAGGGGGAAAGGATCCTTGCAACTTCATATTTTACATTTACCATTATTCAGTATAATACATGCTATTTTAACACAATATGTCACATTTAAAACATATTCTTTAAAATTTTAGTTTCTGTACTTAAATTTATGTAAGAACACTAAAAACAGAAAATGTTTTATCAAACAGTTAGTTTACTATAGCTGATAGCACAATCTGTTACAACCATAGTAAAATGATTGATGCAATTTCTAAGCTTAGGACTATAATAGTGGGGAATTTACATCATCACATTCTCACTTTTCAAATGTTGCAAATGACTCATTACTTCATGTTTTACAAATCTGAAGTGAAACAAATGTTTAAGTAATATTATGAAATTGTTATGTTGTTGCTATGAAGTCATAGGTCATCTTTATTTCTAAGACCTATTGAATTAAACATGATAACTCTGGATATACATCAATATCCATCACAGCACAGGACTGAAACCAAGCACACTATTGTATTTACAAGTCAAGTAGTTGTTTATTGTGTGTAAATGTTTATCAAACTGTGACCCGCAAACTCTTCATAATCCAAAAAGAGGTGAATTACAATCACATGTTAGAAAATATGACATCACTGCTCTATTACATGATGACATGATGCCTCCAAAGTTCAGCCTAAAAAACAGTCTTTTACGAGAAGAAAGTTCTCAGGATATGCAGAGATATAATGTGGCCAAGGTAAGTGAAGTTTCTAGACATTCACATGATGGAATGATGCTGAAGAGGTCACATGACATGCTTTTTATGCATCTGCCATCCACCTTGCCATGACATAAACAAGCTTAAACAATGGTGTCTTATATATGCACTTGGTAAATAGTTCTACAATATTTTGTTTCTAGTGCTTTTTATACAAGTTGGCAGCAAAAACTTCTGTGTTTTGGAAATGTCTATCAAATACATTGCTTAAAAAAATTATAAGAAAACACATAATGTTAAGTTTCTATAGCTTTACCCAAGAAAGTTCCCTCCTCAAAAAATGCAAGTGATGATAAAATAATTTTAATCTAACAACAGGAACTGGACTGCCATCTGCTCAATAGCCGTCTCTTCACAGATAACACCACAGTCTATGGACGTACAGTTTTATAGCAACATCTCACTGTTGCACACTTTCCCATACTTTACTTTGTTATACAAAGAAGCAATCTTTTATGAATTATCGCAACTGAAACGTAGCGTACATTTAGATGCAACATCAAAACAGACAACACTTTCTCAAGTAGCACTTCCGGAAACAATATTTCATAAAAAAAATTCTGAACAGATCCAAACCGAGTCTACTAAACACACCCTTTCTCAAATTGTTGAAAATGGTGAAATTCTTGTAATTCTACACCTACATATTTCAACTGAATCTAGAAAAGTTGTATCATCACAAACTAACATAACTTTTAAAAAGAAAAAGGTTAATGTCCAGATACGTGGACCGTCATGGCGGCACTTCCTGTTTCAGCCTCGAAACCAGACGGTTTGCAGACGTGTCACGTGACGCACCGACGCACGTTCTAACCTAACCTAACCTATTCTAATAAATTAGCATAATTATTACCAATTATATTATTAGAATAGGTTAGGTTAGGTTAGAACGTGCGTCCCTACTGTTTCCTTTTCTTTGCTGGAATCAGCGATGATGCGCCATGACAGCCGCCGACGCTCGCTCGCGTCGTCACGTGACACGTCGTATGCAAACCGTCTGGTTTCGAGGCTGAAACAGGAAGTGCCGCCATGACGGTCCACGTATCTGGACATTAACCAAGAAAAAAACTTAAAGATATAATTGTACAATTATGCTATTGATAATATACCAAATTAACAACCTCGCTTCATTTTTTGTTTTCACGATTTCTATTCAATATAAATGCCCCTCCAAATGAAGCGGTTGGGGGACCTTATCAGAGTTGTAGACAATTTTCCCTTAAGAGTAAAAGAGTCAAAGAAACCGATTGTCTATTTTTTCGGTCATCTATAGGTGGTCTAAAATTTGAAGAGGTCCAAACCTCTCATTCAGAACTGCAATTTTACCGCGTGCCTCGACATCGGTAACTTACCATTTTCGCAAGAGGATCTGGCCGCTAACCATCTTTGCAATCTTTTAAATGCTCTATCACGAATTTTCTTTTGATTAGATGCTAAATGCTGCGCGAAATGAACTTCGGCAGTCACTTTAATACGCTTTTCCGACATTATTCAATATCAAACATTCGAAGCAGAATGAAAACATGCGTAAATCACGTGTCTAGGATTTAAGTGTTGCCAGCTATAATCATTAATTTCCGACAACTTTATTTCTTTTTTTTCTATACGTAAAATATACTTTACACAGAAAAATTTTCCGAATAAAAATCACTATATATTTCTCTGGATGCCAAGTCTGGAAAACCCGAAAACAAATTAAGTCAGGTTGTAAAACCGTACAATGTCACGTTGTCCCTCATCACCCATTGTGAGTGCGGCCGGATGGCCGAGTGGTCAAGGTGGCAGCCTATTGCTCTGGGAGACCCGGAATCGAATACGGACGGATCAAGAAATCCCCAGGAATTTTTCGGAGGGTGGTCCGTTCGGATATGTCGGGCCCCGTCCCTCACCACCCGATCGCCCCATTGTGGGCCCGGCCGAACCCATAATGGGCCTGCCTATAAGAGGCTCTCTTAGTGCCCACAG